GGGTGGTCCCAGAGCATCACAGGGGGTTCTGGAGTGGATTTGGGGTGGCTCCAGAGCATCACAGGGGTTCTGGGGGGGCTTTTGGGTGGTCCCAGAGCATCACAGGGGGCTCTGGAGTGGCCTTAGGATCCCAGCCCCTCACTGGTGACCTCTGGGGTGGTCTTGGGGTGGTCCCAGAGCATCACAGGGGTTCTGGAGTGGCCTTGGGGTGGTCCCAGAGCATCACAGGGCATTCTGGAGTGGATTTGGGGTGGTCTCAGAGCCTCACAGGGGGTTCTGGGGGGGCTTTGGGGTGGTGCCAGAGCCTCACATGGAGCTGTGGAGTGGCCTGAGGATCCCAGCCCCTCGCTGGGGATGGCCTGGGGATGGTCCCAAACCCTGATAGGTGACCTCTAGGGTGGCCTGGAGGTGGTCTCAGAGCCTCACAAGGGTGTCTGGGGTGGTTCCAGATCCTCACAGGGGTTCTGGAGTGGCCTTGGGGTGGTCCCAGCCCCTCGCAGGTGGGCACAGATGGCGTGGGCTGTGCCATGGCCGGCTCGGAAGGGAAGAGGAGGACGAGGAGAAGGAGGAGGAGGAGGAGGAGGAGGAGGAGGAGGAGGAGGCTCAGGGCTGCAGGCAGCTGCTGCTGCCCTCCTTTTGCTTGACTGAACCCCTCTGCCTGGACAGCTTCTGCCTGCCGCTGGTGGGAGGCAGCGGGAGAAGGGGGGGACACGCCTGTGCCCCCCATGTGGGCAGGAGGGGACAGCAGGGGACAGCAGGCTTTGCTCAGCGGCCCGAGGGGTGGCACAGCGCGCTGGCCTTGTCCTCGTGTCACCCGCAGCGTCTCGAGGTGGGGACGCGCTGCCAGCCCGGCTCGGTGTCCCCACGCCCCGCGGCCACCGGGATGTGTCGCATGTCCCCGCAGCGTCCCCGTCCCGTGGCTGCTCGGGCTGACAGCGAATCCCTGCAGGATTTCAGCCCGTGTTTGCCATCCCCGAGCACGTTTTCCCTGCATCTCGGAGGCCTCCGAGTTGGGTTTTTTTTTGGTTGTTTTTTATTTTTTTTCCCTTCCCAAGCTTTTCTGATTTTTAACGAGCTGTGACTAACCGGGCTGGCACGGCAGGCGGTGACCAACCACCGACGTGCTACCTGTGTGCTAAAAAAACGGGGGCTGCTCTCCACACCCCCGCCAGGAGCATTCCCGGGGCCCCCGGGACACCCACCCAGCTTCTCCCAGCTTCTCCCAGGCCTGGCAGTGTCCAGGGGCCAGCAGGAGTCACCCAAAGGTGCAGTGCCACCCAAATCCTGCCTGGAGGATGCAGGATCGTGGCTCGGTGCTGTGGATGGAGCCCCTGAGCTCCAGGATGGGCTCTGTGCCCACCGTGGGGGTGGGTGGGACACCCACCCAGCTTCTCCCAGCTTCTCCCAGGCCTGGCAGTGTCCAGGGGCCAGCAGGAGTCACCCAAAGGGGCAGTGCCACCCAAATCCTGCCAGGATTGTGGCTTGGTGCTGCAGATGGGCTCTGTGCCCATCTTGGGGGTGGCAGAGCTGAGATTTGGGTGAGCTGGGTCTCACCAGGAGCATTCTTGGACTCCCACCCAGTTTTCCCAGCTTCTCCCAGCTTTTCCCAGGCCTGGAAATGTCCAAGGGCCAGCAGGAGTCACCCAAAGGGGCAGTGCCACCCAAATCCTGCCAGGATCGTGGCTCGGTGCTGCAGATGGGCTCTGTGCCCACCGTGGGGGTGGCAGAGCTGAGATTTGGGTGAGTTGGGTCTCACCAGGAGCATTCCCAGACACCCACCCAGCTTTTCCCAGCTTCTGCCACCACCCAGGTGCCAGCAGGAGTCACCCAAAGGGGCAGTGCCACCCAAATCCTGCTGGGATCGTGGCTTGGTGCTGCGGATGGGCTCCAAGCCCATCTTGGGGGTGGCAGAGCTGAGATTTGGGTGAGTTGGGTCTCACCAAGAGCATTCCCAGACACCCACCCAGCTTTTCCCAGCTTCTCCCATCCTCTCCCAGCTTCTCCCAGGCCTGGCAGTGCTCGGGTGCCAGCAGGAGTCACCCAAAGGGGCAGTGCCACCCAAATCCTGCCAGGATTGTGGCTTGGTGCTGCAGATGGGCTCTGTGCCCACCGTGGGGGTGGCAGAGCTGAGATTTGGGTGAGTTTGGTCTCCTGTGCCAAGGATGGGGCTGGGCTGAGCGTGGCTGTGGGATTTTGGTGGTCCCAAACCTTCTGAGCCAGGACAAATCCCTTCCCCGAGTGCTCCCGGGTGGGATTGAACCCTTTGGAAACGCCGTGGGCTTGGCTTGGATCCTCCTCTCGTGGCTTCCCTGCGAGGTTTTATCCCTCGTGGAGAGGGATTTGGGATGCCAAGGGCTCCGTGCCCGGCCCTGGGCTTTGCCCTGGCACCTGCTGGTGGCCACAAGCCCGGCTGGAAGGTCACAGCTGCTCCTTCTTGTTCCTCCTGCCATGGAAGTGACAGGGTTTGGATGGGATTTTGGGAAGGAATTCCTCCCTGAGGAGCTGGGATGGAATTCCCAGAGAAGCCCTGGATCCCTGGAAGTGTCCCAGGCCAGGCTGGAAGGGGTTTGGGGGACACTCGGGGACAGTGGGAGGTGGCACCGGGTGGGATTTAAGGTCCTTCCCACCCAAACCATTCCAGGGCTCTGTGGTTGTGGAGGTTTGGATGGGTTTAGGAATTTCCTCGGTGTCTTATTAAGGAGATTGATATTCTGTTTTGATGTGTGTCCCCTTCCTCCTCCTCCTCCTCCTCCTCCTCCTCCTCCTCCTCAGCCCTGCCCAGCTCCGTGGCCTCTCCAGCCCCGGCCAGAGATGGGATCAGAACCAAATCCCAAACCCTGGGATGGGGTCCTGGCTCATCCCAGCAAACCCTGGGAGCTGGGAAAGGCTGGAGCCAGATTATTCCCTGTATGCCTGTCCATCCATCCGTCCATCCATCTGTGGATTCCATCCATCCATCCATGGATTCCACCCATGGATTCCATCCATCCATGCATTCAGCATCCATGGATTCCATCCATCCTTCTGTCCGTCCATCCATCCATGGATTTCATCCATGAATTCCATCTTTCCATCCATCCCTCCATGGATTCCATCCATCCATCCATCCATGGATTCCACCCATGAATTCCATTCCTCCATCTCTCCATGGATTCCACCCATGGATTCCATCTTTCCATGGATTCCATCCATGAATTCCAGCTTTCCATGGATTCCACCTATGGATTCCATCTTTCCATGGATTCCATCCATCTTTCCCTGGATTCCATCCATCCATCCATCCATCCATCCATCCATCCATCCATCCATCCATGAATTCCACCCATGGATTCCATCCCTCCATGGATTCCATCCATTAAATTCCA